ACTAAAAAGTCTGAATATAAAAGTCTGAGTCTGGTCTGAAAATCAGACCAGACTCAGACTTGACTAAAGTCTGGTTCGGGTCTGGTCTGTAGGAGCACTAATAGTAGAAATCTATTGTTTATTATTATATTTATTATTATATTTATTATTATATTTATAATTAATAACAAAAACAATTTACAGTAAATAGGTTAACTTACAACTTGAGATAGAATGAATTTGCAGAACTGATCTTTATTGCAACTACCTTCTAAAATTTCAACCACCAAAAAACTATCTAATGAGAGGGCAGGCAAAATCGTATATCTTTTTTCACAAATAAAAACTGTGTTTTTGTGTGCACGAGAATTTATAGGTGTATAACTGTAATGCCTATTTAAAGTACGCTTGTCTTTGGTGGATTTGTCAATAAAAATCAACTGGTCAGGATAATAGTTTGCCCCAAATTGGCAAGAAAAGCGCTTCAGAGAAGCTCATTTCTTTCAGATGCTATCTTTTGCAGCTAATTAAAAATTAATTAATTTAAAAAATTAGGTTTAACAGTAAAGAGAAAACTTGTCATCATACTATATTTTGCATATATTAATTTTAGCTACCTTCTTATGAGAAATACTACAGTATTTCAATAATCACCACAAAGATAATATGGAAAACTAGTTGTTTGTACGCATTTCCATTTCTATTAGGAGTTCGTCAATGTACCAATCTACCTTTTCATTAACAAGACACTTTAACATCTTTAATTCCTGATGTGTAAATTTTTTTTTACAGCCAGGTTGGCCTTTAAAGGGATTTTTGACACATTCTCATTTTCTAAAGATAGCTAATATCTAATAAACAGAAGCTTTGCTTATATAAAGGATTGTAGAGATAGCTTCCTTATTATAACCTTTCGCATCTAAATAAACAACTCTCCATCTAAGGTCTTCACCAAGTTCTCGTGGCATATTGATTTTAGATGAATTTTTTTTTTTAAAAAAAAAACACGAATTGTTGAATTTAGATAAATTTTTATAAACTTGAAATTCAGGTAATGTTTATATAGTTTTTGAGTTTTTAGTTTTAGGTATGACTCTATATTGACTTTAAATAGAATATTTTTTGCTTTATTTGATATAGTAAAAGTCTTTTGATTTTAACAGTAGTTCTACCTTGTTTTAATGTGTCATACATAGCTCTGATTTTCATGAATAGAGCATCTTCTGGCTTTTTGAACACAAAGTAAAATTTCTAATTATGTTCTATAATTGAAAATTTTATTTTGTATTTGCAACGCAGAAAAATGCTCTCCTCATGCAAATCTAGGCTACACTTGATATACCACGAATCACTAAACAAAGCAGAGCAGCTGTTAAAATCGAAAAGACCTCTAGTATTCTGTATTAGCTACTTTATATACTAATTTTTACTACTTTACTAAACAACGATGATATTTCTTAAAAAAATGTAACTCTTCATAGCAAGCTTGAAATAACAGGGACCTTTTTAGATTTTAACAGTTGCCCTACCTTGTTTAATAATTCGGAGGTGCATCGAGTGTAGCTCAGATTTGCATGAGAAGAGCATTTTTCTGTGTTGCGAATACAAAATAAAATTTCTAATTATAGAACATAATTAGAAATTTTACTTGTGTTCGAAAAGCAGGAAGATGCTCTCCTTATGAAAATCCGAGCTATGCGTGATGCACTAAAATAAGGTAAAACAACTGTTAAAAATCGAAAAAGACCTTTGATACTTGAAATAAAATCTTTTTTCATAAGACTATTAATAGTACTGTATATTGGAGTTGGCAACGAACCCAAAAGGGAACCTCAATAGATTTAATGTGCTTAAGGATACTTATTCATTGACCTCCACTGACTCAACGTATGCTAGTTAAAATAAGAATTATGGTAATGGTAAGGTATAATTTAGGCCAATCAATTTCAATCAGTTAATTCTGACCAAAAAATCACTATCTGAAGCAAGTGCAATATATGTATGTGTTGTAAGTGGAAACAAAATTCAAGTAAATTTGGAATTCTAGTCATATTAGTATTTTAGGGTAAAACTTATCATATATAAACCTCTACCCATTATTTTAACTAGAAAATTCCAAATTTACTTGAATTCTGTTATCACTCCAACATATACAGTATGATACTAATTGAAAACAAGACTTTTGAGAAAACAAATCCTGACAAAGTACAAATCCTCAAGGTATATAATCTCGTAATGCCTAGATCTTAATCAGAGGATTTGTATTTGGGTGTTTTTATTTGCTTTGACAAATAGTATTTGTCTGTTTTCTTGTTCAAAAGTTTGTTACTACACATTAAATTTATTTATATTCACAGATTGGCTTTCATAGCAATGGCGATTATAATATAATTATTACCATTTATATATACAAACTCGTGAAATGTTTTAATTATGTAAGGTTGAATTTTTTAAAAAGACTTTATTTTAAATTAATACTATAAATTAATAATTTATTTTTATTTATTTTTTTTAAAAAAAGTGAAATAATTATTATCATTATTATTATAATTATTTTTAAACTTATATCTATCATTATTGCTTTTATTATTATTATCATCATTTTTATTTTAAATTAAGAATAAATATTTTTTGTTAGCCAACTTATTACTCAAAATAAAGTTTTTGCTTTCTCAATAAAGTATTGGAATTGTCACAATGACAACTGCTAGAGATGCGGTAGAATTATCCCAATGAATTTTACAGCATACGGCCAGTTATGGTTATAACAAAAAATTTATAATCCCATTGTGTCATATTAATAATTAATTTTCATAACTTTAGTTAGTGATAGTACACGCTACTCTGGTTATACCGATATCTGGATATAACGACATCATAGTAAAATCTTTCTATACCGACATTTTTTTTCAAAAATTTAATATAAAATGTTGGTATAACTCACTGTACCGACATTTTGAATTTTTTTACTAATGTCTCAAAAATGTCGATATAACCAGAGTGACATGTATTATCAATTAAAGCAGTTCATAATAACTACGTTAAAAATAATATAGAAAACTAATAAAAAAAATTCTAACCCCAGCAACCAAACTCTAACCTTATAGTCACTATAACATAACTCTAACAAACCTAACACTACACCTAATTATCATAATCAATACCAACTATACGACATTGTACAATGAACATTTTTTAACAATTACACCAAAAGTAAAACGCCTCTAGCAAAGCAATTGCACATGAAATGGCAGACACCAATCATGATAATGCCTCTAGCAACAACAGACAATGCCACCAAGACACCACAAAGTTGATACTGAGATTTGATATCTGGAAAGAAAATGAGAAGTTAGATATGCAGCAAAAGAGAACACCAGAGACAACAGAAAGCAAATTAAACAACGAAATCTATCCCAAAGGCGGTAAAAATAACATAACACCCACACAGACACTGATGACAACTAGATACCGCACTTAATCGACTAGAAAGAAAAATGAGCTGGTTAGATATGTAGCAACAGAGAAAAACCATTAACAAAACTATAAAATCAAACGATAATTTCACTCACTATAACTGCAAAACTGTTATAATCGATGACTAGAAAACGCACTCAATCAGCTAGAAAAAAATTGGGCTAGATATGAAACAACTAAGAAAAATACCTGAAATCCGAAGTGAAATCCAGCAAAATCAGAAACAAAAAATCCACCTACCTATAATGGCAACATGGCACAAAACAAACACCTAAACCGATTCCAATAATGATACACGATGCGTATCTATTAGAAGATGTATTGAGATATTAGAGCCTTTTGATCAATTATATAACTTTCTTAAATCTTTAATTCCAATACAATTGAAGCTTCTAATTAACACTATAAAAAAATGTACTATACATTAGTACTAGTACCATAAAAGAACCCCTATGAATTAAATCTATGTATGAGCGTCATTAATCCCATTACTAGACATTGGTAGCCTAGAAATAATAAATTGATTGGCTAGTAACAACGTGAATACAATTATGAGAGTCTTAAAAATATAAACAGCATATATCTAACATATAATAAAAGTCTTAGTAAGCTCTGTTAACTCTCTTGTAAGAATGTATGAATTGCAGGATCTATTTAAATAAATGTAAATGTTTTTAAAAACACAGACTGCTGCAAATTACATATATTTTAAAAATTTACCTTGCTATAATATAAACGCTCAGCTGTGTACTAAACTCTAGGTACTTAAAAAAAATCTGTTGTGTATAATGGCAGCTGTTATAAAAGTAAAACCAATATATTTAATGCAAATATATATGTACGTACATACGTATATACTAGACTAGTGTATATTGTGTATAGTTATGAACAGAGTTGCAGTTTCAAGTGTATAAAAAAAAAAAATTAGTTAGAGTCGCAGAACAAAAGCAGCTGCCAAAAATAAAAAGCACTATCGCTATGTACTAGTTGTAATTGTTTAATATAACAATTACATAACTAGATAGCTATGCGATGCCATCGCGTGAAACCAGAAATGAAAGATCTAAGCAGAGAACAGAATTAATGCATCTGATACTATAAATTTGCATATAGTTATAATGCATTCCAGTACAAATAATGCTGAATATACAAACTTTATTAGAGAGTTATAGCTAGTGCGGTTGGGTCAGGTCAGGTTTTAAGCCAACGAACCTGACCTAAAATTTCAGATCAGGCCAGATTAAAAATTTTCGTATTAGAGCTTCAACCTGAACTAAACCTGACCCAAAATTTTAGGCTAATGTATTAAATTTTTTTAAAAAAATGAATTCAATTGCCCTTTTTGCTCTTAATCATTTGTAACGATGATTATTAGAGTTGGCTAATTAAATCTAAGCATGGTGTTCTTATAAACTCAGTGGGCTACTACAGTAAGAATTATGCATTGCATATTTAGAATCAATGATAGTTTTTTTATTTTATCTTATGGATTTATAGAATTAATATAAAAAAATGCTTTACTGATTTGATGTCAAGAAATTATTGTTCAAAGTTAAAGAATTTAGACGATTATTAAAACAAATTTTGTAATTGTTGAGATATTTTAGTTCAAAGTTTGTAAAAAGAATATAATGTTATTACCAGATATTTTTAATTTTATTAGTTTAAGATATTAACAAGTATGCACCATTCAGATTTCTTTGATAAATCAAACTAATTTCAATATATGTAATATTTTAAAGTAAAAAATATGCGTTAAGTTAGAAATTATATTTTTATATTAGAGCGCAGAATGTGGTTTCATTTAATAGTCGAAATTTCAAGTTACTTATTAACAGTTTTTTAAAAAATATGATTTTCACGTTATACCTCTTAGCTACAACAAAATTTCATAGCATATTCTCGGTTTTGATTGGCTAAGAGCAATGTTTAAAAAATTTTGCCAAAATTACTCAAAGTTCTACTAATGCAACTACAGAGCCTATTAAGTGAAAATTGTTTCTAGGTCAATTTTACCATAATGCAAAATTTTTTCCAAAATTTCTATTTTTGTAATAAAAAAATCAAATTTAATAACAGCCAGAAATTAGTAAACAATTATGTAATATGGGCCAAAATTTGCAGATCTGCAGCTGTTAACCAATCAAAATTGAGTAACAATTTTGTGTTGACTGTCTGAAGAAATCTGATTCATGCATACTTTACTGCCTTTTGAGGTTTTATTTAAAATATTATTTAAAAATATATATGCACTTGTTATTAGAACTAAAAAAAAAAAAAATACAAAATGCTAATTTCACGCATTTTTAAATTGGATAATTTTCGGGTCGAGATAATGTTCAACCTGAATCTGACCCAATTCGGAGCATTAGTTATAGCATATATTATATGTTAATAGGTTTGATGTATAATTGAAAGAGATATATAGTATATATCCATGTGTTTGATATAATTGGAATTAGTTGGTGGTTTCCCACTCGCATAAATGCAGAACGGCTATTAGACAAAAGCTTTGTAGTCACATAATCTTAGCTGGTGGTTTCCAACCTGTATAACGCAGGCCAGCTTTAAAAAGATGTTTAAGTTGCCACAAGATGGCAGAATTCTACTGAGTGAGAGTAATAAAATTGATTTGTCTCTTGAAGGGGATGCTGTTGTGCTGCCCTGCCACTCTTCTGTTTTATATCTGTATATTATTGTCATATGTTACCTGCTAAATTTGAATAAATTGGTTTTTGTGTCATAAGATTTTAAAGTAATTTTATTAAATTTATACTGGATTGAAGTGGATCATCCATGTAATTGTTATTTGCTAATGTATTATTGCTTAGCAGCCTTTTTTATCTGTTGATCTATTGTCAACTAAAAGAAGACAGTAGTCATGTGAGTTTTTGCCAATTATTGTTATAACATGAAAATAACTAGTGTGATGGGTAGCACATGTGCGCTGCTCATCTTATTTGTTTTTTTGATCATATTAATGAGTTACATATAAAAAAAAGATCTATCACAGAATTTAATAACTATGGTTGTACACAAAATATGTGGCTAAGATAGATTAGCTTGGATTATATTTTATATGATTTAATTATAATAACTTTTACTATTTCAATATTCAAAAATATTATTGATTAATAATAATTAAAGATATATTTATTAAAACTGCATAAAATAAAATTAGCACTAATGAATAGATTACTCTAAATTTAAAAACTCAAGATCAAATATCATATTAATCTTAATAAAATACTAATATAGAAATTAAAATAAATAAAAAGAATGAAAAATGGATATTTAATTATTTTTTAATGACTATATAAATAAATTCGTAATTGTACATAATAACAATTAGTGCCAAAGGAATTCATCTGAACTAATAATCTTAGACTTTAACACTATCTTAATATCTCAAAGTTTACAATTTTATGTTTTCATTGTTTTATATCACTAATCAACTTACTGGTAGTATGTATCTGTCTTTTAAGAATAAATATTATAAAATTTAATCCTTTTGAAATGAGTTTATATTTATTAAGCTTAATATAGTAGATTATTTTTATTAAATCAAAATTCCTACACATATCTTCACCTAACTTCTAAATAACTTTATTAATAGTTTATTATATTATATATCCAAAGATATAGTTTCTAAATTACATATTGTAATTTTCTAAACTCTGTACTTATAGTTATGAATTATTTTGAGTATTCTGTAACAGCAAATTATTAATAAAATATTATTATTACAATCTGCTTTGAATTATCATAAGTTCTATTATGAATTATAGTCAAAATTATTTTATAACTTGCTTGCTATTCTAGTGATAACAATGTAGATAGTTAAGTTAATTTGCATTTGAATTATCGACTGCTATAAGATATATAGCTGAATAAGTTTGCATTGTAATTTCAATTAGGATTTTTATCATGGTTGCTTGTATTAGAATTATTATGATTTCTCTTATGAGTTATTGTAAACAATTTGTTACAATATTTACTCTCTGGTAGTTATAGTATATAGTCATGGGTTAAGTTTGTTTGTATTAGAATAATTATAATTTTAATAATAAATTATTGCAAATATTTTTTACAAAGCTTATTTGCTAACTAAGCTACACTATAGAGTTAATTTGTATCTTTCATTATTAATTACTATAAAACTCTAATTTCTAATTAGAGTTACAATAAAATTCTGTTATAGAAATATTATAAAAATCTGTTGCAAAACTTGCTATTCCAATAAGTTAATTTGTATTGGATTTATTATGATCTTTATTTAATTGAGAGTGATTAATTTGTATTGGAATTACTATAAATTCTATTATCATTACTTAAAAAATTCTATTAATTCTATGTAATTAAGATTGAGAGTGATTAATTTGTATTTAAATTATATAAATTCTATTATAAATTACTTAAAAATTTTATTAATTTTACATAATTAAGATTGGGTAATTCTTATTATGAATTGCTAAAAAAAATATTGTTGAAAACTTACTATTCCAGTGGCTGCTATACATAGAGCTAGTTTACATATAAACTATTATAATTTTTATGCAATTAAGGCTGAGTTAGTTGTATTTAAATTATTGTGATTTTTATTATAAAAAATTTTGTCATATTCTGTTAACTACAGTATGTGGTTAAAGTCAAATTGGTTTACATTAGAATTTTTATGATTTTCAATACTTACTTTACATTTTAATAATTATAATATATAGTGATTTCTATGTAATTAATATTGAGAGAGTTTATATTAAAATTATTATAATTTCTACTATACCACAACAACTTAGTTATACAAAACTTTTTTGCCCAAATTTCTAACTGGCCCTCCTCATACAAAGCTGAATTATTAGCAATACTGTCTGCTATCTCTACTATTCTACGAAATTCTAGCCTACAAATCTACACTGACTCACAGTTAATTATATCCAAGTACAACAAACTCCTTACCCTGTCCTCTCAGTTAACAAAATACTTCAAATTTAATTCTTGGCCAATTTGGCACACACTTCTCAATATTCTAAAAACCTTCAAT